TTATTAAGATGCAACTTTTAATTTATATGAAGTGCAAAATCAATATATTTTTACACGTATATCTCGTCCAATTTCAACTATAATTACATGATAGTGATTAATAACTAAGTTTGGTTATTTTTTTTATTTTTTTAATAACTATATGATTAATATTTTTTTATTAATTAGAAATCGAAATTGGAAGATATATATATATAAACACAACAATATATTAAGAATATAGTTATATCTATAGCTATACAGTGCAGGACACCTAAAATCGGCATGTAAAATAGATAATTTTTAATTGATCAAATTGAAAAAACAACTAATCGGTTAATGATGATTAATTGATTAATTGCTAACTGGTTAGTTAATTTTTAAAAACTTTTGGCTAACTAATTGACTGCATTTTACAGTCAACTCCCGCTATAGTCACATTGTCTGGCAAAAACTTAATGTGACTATAGTAAGAGAAACATAGTAATAATCACATGGTGTGATTATAGTGAGAGCTAATTTCATAATAACCATAAATAATTGGTATATAGCTTTAAAGAATTGTGATTATTACGGATGTGACTATAGCGGGAGTTGACTGTAGTTCGATTTGGAAGACTAATTTACAGACATAAATAGAAGTACCACAATTAGGTGTTCCACACTGTAGTTATATAAGAATTCTACTTGCCTCAACTGATATGTAAATTTCCTAATAATCAAAAACACAATTGTCTGCAATTTCTTGATTTTGAATAATTTTTTTAACTGCTAAAATAATTGGCCTATATTCAAAAGAATATACCTAGCCATTACTTTTCGCAATGGGAGTTAAAAAGAACTTTGTATGATCCTTTCTCAAAGTGTTCAAGAAAAAAAGACCATCCTTTGTTGATTGGAGCAGAATTTTCTTTGAAATTTGGCCATGTTTTTTTATGAACTTTAATACAGCATCACTAGCCATATAAGAAAGCTTATATTTGATTTTCTAAAAAACACCCAAAATTTCGGTTAAGCTTACAGCATATGGCATCTCGCAAGAGAGGGTTAAAATAATAATAATAATAAAAATAAAAATAGTAATAATAAATAAAAAAATACCAATTAAATTCATAATATAATAGTTACTATATTTATGAAATCCCAATATGCAATACTTAGAAAATCTGCATTATCTATTTCACTGTCATTGCTATATTCATTGTCATCACTCTGAAATTCATTAGCTTCGTCAATGACTATATTATTTTCCAATATATCCTCCCCAAAAATTTCACCAGACTCATAAATATTAGAAATCCCTTGATCATCAGATATTGGATCACCAGCAATACTTTGGGCCTCAAATGTCAGGTTAGATTCATCAACATTTTCTTGATCATCGATCATCAGTTATTATTTTGTTCACTTATAACATCTAATTTGTCAGAATTAAAAATATCCAAATTATTGTCAGTTTCACTTTCAACATAATAGCAACTTTGCCTGCTTTTAATATCGAATTTGTCAGAATTATAAGTATTTTTTTCTTCAGAATTATAAGTATCTGTGCTATTGTCACTTTTATCTTCAATTTGATAATGGTTTTTATGAACCTTTTTATGATTTTTAAGGCTCGTCAGATGACCAAACTTTTTGACGCACACACTACAGTTAAACATGAAATATCTAAAAAAAAAAAAAAATTAAATTTAAAATCAAATCATAAATATTTGATTTTATATTCTTATTAAATAGCAGCTTATTGCAATATAAGTTAAAATATCTTGAGGAGGGCACAGAGTTTTTGTTATTTTTTAGCTTACAAAGCAAATACTAAATTTTTATTTAATTTTTTTTTTTCGCTTTTATACTAAATTTAAACTTTTAATTACATAATCGATCTTACAGTATCAAAGGGTTCAGGATCAAATATTCTAGAAATATATAATAAGAGAACAATGGTAACTGATTATGTCATGATTGACTGAATATTTTAGTATATTACACAAATCAGTTATTTTATATAAATATCTTTAAAAGTAATTACTAACTATTCTTTACTATCATAACTTTGCTTTTATATATTCATTAGACCAGACCAATTTAATTCTATGTTTAATATAACCCCCTGTTTTTTAAAATGTCAGACAAAAAAAAACATATAACACTAACTAACCAAATTGCAATATAATTTTTATATCTTTACAACTAATTGAATTATTGTACTTTTTTAATTCATATTTTTTTATACCTTTCTCCACTCTTGTTATCTATTTTATGATGTGTTAAACAAAGAATTAATTTGGTATGGCCTTACTAACTTCAAGTCGCTATTAAGCATCAATGTTAAATACTTTGAAGATAAGTCACTGTGGCCTGTCACGCTCGTATATGTTATTTAATAATTTTCTGTTTCTTTTTTTTTTGTTTTTTTTTTTTAGAAAATAATGTCTATAAATTCATTATTCTCTTAATTTTTGCATTATTTTTCTTAAAGTCACTGTAATCAATGAGTGGATATCAGTCTACTCAAGCTGCCCAAACTATTGTAACTACTGTGACAGGTATAAAATAGTTAACTTGTACAATATATCTAGCTAACCAAAGAGATCTTAAAATAAGTATATGATTAGGTTCAGTGTTTAATATTATATTTAATGAGAAAATAGTATAAATTTAATTTATCTTCTTTAAGAATCGATCCATATTTACTAAAAACTATATATTGTTAAATACTGAAAAACAATGTTTAACGTACAGATGAATCATATTTTTATTAATAAGTTGAACTATGAATATGATTATAATATTAACTACTGCTAACATTATACTATTATTTCTACTTAGGTATATTACTACAAGAGACTTTATTTTCTAATCTCCAAAAATGATCAATAGATTTAGAGGCCTATATCCAATGTGGCTTATTGAAGCGAAAATTCTTTGTATCAAGCATAAAGCTGTCCAATCACATATTTTTATGATAATATAACTTTATATGGATAACACAATTAAAGACAAGTATTTTTCTTGATTTTCTTTAATTACGTTACTAACTTTTTATGTATTACATAATTTGTGTACTATGCATATATACGTATGGTCTTGTTATTTGATCCTTATATAATTAATATTTAAACAACTCTTAAAATTAAAAGTGCAGCTTATTATAATTTTTTTTAGATATCAAAATATTTTAAGAAACACTCTTTTTATTATGCCTCTTATAGGCCAAAAACGAAAACTTGACCTTCAACAAAACGAAGTTGCTTCAGTAATTATTAAGCCTTGAATTTTTAAATAGTTAAAAAAGTTTTAAATAAAAACATTATTTATTTATTTAATTGTTTGTTTATTTTATTTTATTTTTTTTTAGACATTAGATGCTCTAAGGTCTAATCCATCTACTTCAAGTATAAAAAAGCCACGAAATATAAATAAAACTACTACCAAACCCTGTAAAAACACAAAGAAAGTATCATATAGGCCTATAAGCCAAAATAATATTAATAATGCTGACATTGATGATATTGATGTCGATGCCCCAAATTCTCCTCATAAAATTATTGAAAGCCCATCTCGGTTTCCACAAGTGAATCTTTTACTAATATGATGAAAAATTTGTCAGTTGATGAAAACGGTTAGTTTTAGAAATGTACAGGGAATACCATGGGTTATCAAATGATTTATTTGTTTTACACAAGTAAATCGTTTGGTAACCCGTGGTACTCCATATCTATTTTATGAAGTTCTAGATTACAAGTACTGATTTCAGATTGAAAATAGCACCGAATGAAGAAAGTAAAACAATAAAATTGATACTAGAAACAACTAAACAAGCAGTAATGCAAAGTAATTTAATTATAGAAAAAAAAGAATCATTTGAAACTACAGATACTCAGCTAGTTAATGACGTTAACAGTTTGATTATAGAAAAACAAGAATCATTAGAAGCTATGCTTACTCAGCTAATTAACAATGTCAAAACTTTACAATCTTTATATAAAGATTTCAGATCTAATATAAAAGACCAAGATCAAAAATAATGGTAGATATATTTAATGTTATTTCAACTTATATCAACAACACTAGTGCATAGGATTGCTTTTCTGTTCATGTGGTCGATTAACTAATATAAAATTAAGGCGCAATTTATTATAGTTGAACCTCTCTATAATCACCTCTATACAAGTACATCATATAAAGTTTTCTTTATAAGCACACCTTTTTTAAAATCAACTATCATAATTATATAAAAAAAAACTCTATATAAGTAATTCAACAGTATAATTATAGGGAGATAATAGCTTTAATTTCAACCTAAACTCTATCAACAAAATTTTTATATTCAATTACATAAACAAAAAATTTGATCCTACATTATTGAAATTAATTTTTAATTTGAATATTATTACACAAGCATTTTTATTTAAGTGGGTGATGTTTTTAGTAAGATCTTTAATAATTGTTTGACTAACCAAAATCCTAATAATACCGCTATTTGATTTATTGAATTTATTCATTAAAAGGTTTATTAATTTCAGAAAGGTGCGGTACAAGGTATAAAGAATGCCATAGATAATTGGCTTTATTCCAATAACATGATCTATGAACAGGCTATTCGAAAAGAGCTTAATGCTCTTTGTTTTGATAAAATGGACTATTATAAGAAAGATTCCAAATGGGAGGTGTTATTTGCTAAGATCAAAAATTCAGTAAGAAATTGATTCATTGTGTAGTTTTATTTTTATTTTTATTTTTATTTTTTATTTTATTTTTATTTTTTATCTTTTATTTAAATTTTAAATTAGATTAGCACTGAATCCTGCAGTATCGTAGCGCTTTATTTAGGTCTTTTCAGTGTGCTGTATTTGACCACATTTTTAAAAAGAAAATCTCGCCAACTGTTAATTTGGAAAGTTCAGAATCTGAGATAATTTTCTGGAAAGCGAGTGAAGAAGTTCAATGGTGTTTTAAAAATCTCGATAGTATAATCGAAGAAGAAAACAAAACGTATGTTCAGATGGTTGCCATGAAGGTATTTGGTCGGCAACCTACCCAAAATCAATATGCAGTAACACGAGCTGTGTTGCACAATTTATTTAATCCAGAAATCATCAAATTAAGTTTGATGAAAGATATTTAACACAAAAGTTAAGTTCTTTTTTGGTAAGTATAACTTAATATTTAAAGACCATATGTTGGTATCGTTTAACGTTATGTTTCATCGGTATTATGCTTACTATGATATATATTTATAGCAAAATGGCAATGAAGTGAATCAAGAGAATGACGAATCAAGTGCATTCAAGAGTGAATGATCGTTCTGCTGCTATATTTAAAATCAAATCGTTCTTAATATCTATAGATTATATTCATTGTCTATAAGAGTAGAATTTGAAGAAAAATTTAAGATTTATATAATTGCAAATGTATATTTTATACAAATTTATTATTAAATTTAAATAAATATTATTTATATTGCTATGTAATTATATAATTATTAATTTTATTTAATTTAAATAAATAAATATTAAATAAAATTATTTATAATTTTATATAATCGTACAAATAAATTTTGCATAAATATTATTTTTGCTAAATTTTAAATAAAAATTAAATAAAATTATTTATAATTTTATATAATTGTACAAATAAATTTTGCATAACTATTATTTTTCCAAATTTTAAATAAGTATTAAATAACAATTATTTATAATTATGTATATATATAAGTTATAATTACATAAGTCTACATTGGGTTTATAGATCTATGTATAATTGTTAAATATAATATACATAAAATATTTACATAACTCTATATAAAAACAACTTTGTGATGAGTATGATACAAGTATGTCACAAGTATAGCACAAATATAGCACAAGTATAAGTATAGTACAGATATAGCACAAGTATAGTACAAGTATAGTACAGTATGATACAGTCAACCTCCTTTATAGTCACCTCCTCTATAGTTACAAAATTAGTATAATTACTAATTTATTTTTACCAATTATTTATAACTATATAAAAAATACCTCTATATTAGTCATACATCTTTATAATCACAGTTTTTGTATCCTGAAGGTGTGATTATAGAGGGTTTGACTGTACAAGTATACCAAAGATATGATATAAGTATAGTACAAGTATGCTACAGATATAGTACAAATATGATATAAGTACAGCACAAGTATAGTCAGATATAGCATAAGTATGACACTAGTATAATACATGTCTGGATCAAATTACTGGTATCAGAAAAAATATTACATATGGATGATAGGAATGTTGTGATGATTAAAATTAAATAATATATATAAAAATTTATAACTAGAGTGTATTCTTATACTAGGAACATAGTATGAAGTACAAAGTATATAATTTATAAGCAACTATTTGTATACAAAATTTTAGATCTTATTGGATAGCATGATCTTGTTATATGAAATTATTTTGTAAAGATCTACAAGTTTTTAACTTGTATTAATCTGGTATATACTTTACAAAAATGGCCAATTTAGCAACTTTAGAACTACTTTAAAGTAGCTATAAGGTAACTATATAAATATTTTATAATAGCTATAAAGTAACTTCAAAATAGCAATATGCCTACTACTATTTACTACTATTTTACTACTATTTTACTACTATTTTACTATACTTTTACTACAATTTTGTAAAAATTAAAAGTTTGATTTTTTAAAAAACTTTACAAAATTGAGTAAAAATAGTAAAATAGAAGTAAAATAGTAGTAAAATAGTAGTAAATAGTAGTAGGTGTATAGTTATTTTGAAGTTACTTTAATACTATAACTACTATAAAGTATTTATATAGTTACTTTATAGCTACTTTAAAGTAGTTCTAAAGTTGCTAAATTGGCTATTTCTGTAAAGTATGTATTACTCTAAATAGACTTAAGAATATTTTAATAAAATTATATTTATATTATGTATTACAAGATTCTATTATATTGGCTAATTTGATTTAACTTCAAAATTAGCTAATTATGATCATTAAAATTTATTACAAAGTAAGTTTTTACATAAATAGTTTATTAAATTTACTTTAAATCTATAATTAAATATATAGAATATTGCAATATTTACATATTTAACTATTAGCTAAAAGTAAGTTAAAAAGGCTGTTTGCCTCCAAAATTGCTTCTGAATTCATATATACTCATTCTACAACTAATTGTTCTTAATGACAATCTAATTGTTCACTACTCAAAAATATCTAAATACTTCAACAACTAGTGATAGTAATTTTTTTACAACTTAGTGTGACTATATTTTGATATTTATTTTATACAGAGGATAAAAAAACATTTTTATTGAATGTTTCATTTGTCATTCTTTACATTACTTAGTGGAAAAAGTTTGTATAACTTTTGTCAGAAAAAGACCTCTAAAAGTTAAATTAGCAGATAAATGCTAATGCTAACTTTTTTAGTTATTAATTTAGAACAAGCTTGTACAATTAATCTCTAATTACTTCTCAAATTTAAAATATACAGATTATCAGCTTTACTACTATTGATAATTATAAACTCAGCTCAATAGAGATATTATATTGTAGTCTGTTCTAAACTAATAATTCACAATTAGCTCTAAAAATTTTGAATAATTAAAGTAAACCAGAACTGAACTTGCAAGACAATTAAGATCTCTACAGTTCAATCTGCTTTGGTTTCTAATAAGACCAATTAGTACTTCATAAAATTAAATTAAATTTAAATTTGAATCAAATATTTAATTTAAAATTTGATTTTGCAAAGTACTATTTATAATTTCAGAATTGTAATCAGACTAATGATCTCAACAGCAAATGTTTACTATTTATGGTTGCTAGTTTGTAGGTGTGTTGATGATTTCAATAGTGTAAACTCATAATTTAAACAGTATAATAAATACTGTATATTTACAGTTTAGTGATGGATGAATTTTTGATTTAGCAGTGGATATGTTCACAGTTTTAATAATAAGTAAACAGTAATTTCAACAATAGATAGTTTATAATTTTGACAATAGGATTGTTCAGAATTTTAACAATAGTTTAATGATTTCAAATAAGTAGATTTATAATATTTAACATATAATACAGTACTTACTTAGCAGAAACCTAAGTTTTTTTTAACAATATAATTATTATATTTATTTTATTTATTTTTTTTTTACTTCAGCGATCCTTTCTTTATTTTATAAATCAGCAATAGAATACAAATAGATATTCAATTTAGCTAAATCTACATTATCCTCCATAAACTATTTAATGCCTGTCCAAATAAAGAATCTCTCGATCT